GTAAACCATATCTGGTGTCGAGGGGGGTTCTCGCAGAGATCTCTGCAGATCTTCGTTATACGGTTCCATTGCTATCTCTCTATTTGGTGTATAGCTTCGTGTTCAATGCTGAGTGCAAGTGCCCGTTAGTGCCGTCATCTGGTTTGGAGCTTGGTGGTTGGGCCACGTGTGGAAGGCTGGCTGTTTTTTTAGTCGTTCGGCGACAATTTTATAATTCATTACTGCCTTTTGTTGTTCCCTTAAATGCCGCTTGTAGCGTTTAACAATATTCGTCAAACTTGGATGTTATCTGACCTTGTGACTATGGGCCCATATGGGCCCATTTTTGGTGAGGCCGTTTTCCTCGAGCTCCTGTCGTGTCGGTATTATGATGGATTAGACGAAGTGGTCGTGTGAAGCAAGGGAAGTGCCATGGCCAAGTACAGCTCTTGGACTGATCCAGAACCAGTTCTTGCCTTTGTGATCTTACCGTCGTCAATTTTTCGTCAATTTTCAATTCCCATTAGCTAAGGGTTCAGTCTAGATAAGAGCTGGGATGGTGGGATTTGTGGCCGGCAGCGTGTTATCGTGTTTACTTGCCCAAAGTTTTTTGTGTCTGGAGTTTCAGTAGCCTTTGACTGGCTACCTTGGCATAGTAGACTTTGACTGGCTACCGTAACCACTCCCAGTATTTACTCTTAGGTGCCTACGTAGTGGTGGGTGCCACAAGATCTCTTCGATATCAACGTCGACATCGTTGGCCATGTTTTGTTAGAGCCCGGCCGGATCCTATCTAATCCTGTTTGCCCCCAATGCTTTCGCACCTCAGCGTCAGTAGAGACCCAGAAAGCTGCCTTTGCTTGCTTTTGGTGTTCCTTCTAGTATCGAATCAGGACTGATCACCCTCTTCTCCCGACTGGAGCATACGGTTTTTATATCCGTATTTGGTCCGACTTTCAGGTCTGCATACGTTGAGAAGGACCATGATGCATTCTATTCCAGTGCCCACTCTAGGGGCATAGGTAATTTCCGTCAAGTACGGAAGATGCGCTTTCGGTCTCTTTGAGGAATGGAAGTTTGTTCCATCTGGAGACAGCACAAGGATTCTCATGCGCCTAAGATGGCTGATATGCACATCTTGCTCCATCTGGATTCGGACTCGTGTCTGCATTTCGACTGCCAGCCGGCATCAATTCGCTCCACGGGTTCTCGTGCTCGAAATATGGCTACTATGCATCTTCTTCCATCTTGGTTCGAACTTGGGTCTGCCTTTCGACAGTTCATTCTGTACCTTCTGCTGAGCTTGATATGAAATGCAAGCGCATCAATCTGAGACCGCAAGCATTCTCGTGCTACAAAGATGGATATGCATCTAGTTCCATCTTGGTTCGGACTTGGGTCTGCATCTCAACAGTCGTTGTTGCACCTGCTGAGACAGATATGAATGCCAGCAGTGGTTCGGACTTGGCTCTGCATCTCATGGTGCTGGTGGCGACAAGCTCAAGCAGGGAAAACGAGAAACGAGCAAAGCAGGGTCAGTTAAGGGCTTGTTAGGTGAACAGGGTTTGCATGATGGGCGTTGATTAGTTCTGGAGTCCAGAGTTGAGGCGAAAACCGCCAGCGCGCGAGGAGTTCTCTCAAGCTGTGCTCCATCACATGGAACCTATTGTAATTCGTTGACAGGCTGGCAGCGGAAACACTGCGATATTGGCCAATCAAGTGGAGAGGGAGGGAGGGTAGTATTGCACTACGTAGTCGATTCTGCCTTGGGGGTTAGCCTGCCATGTTAGTATGTGTGGGAGACATGGGTCGTCTCATCTCCCTCACCCTGCAACCATATTGATTGCTTCTCCCGCAATTGTAGTGATGGGAAGAGTTGGAGTGGGAGTGCACGCAGGGAATGGATGGCCATCTCCAGACGTTGGACAGACGGGGCCACGTTTTGTGTCCCTCTCTGTGTGCGGAAGGTGCACGAGACGTTGGGTACGGACGATATTGGGTAGGGTCTACTCATCTCTGTCACCCTGCAATTGCATTGATCCCTTCTCCTGCAAAGAGCAAGAGAAGCTCACCTGTTGCTATGGCAGAAGCTCTTCTCGCCACTGAGTCGCTAGTAATGGTGCAGTTGCTCCTGGCTGGCAAGTCGTGCTTCTTCACATAGTTGATGATTTTCAGTCGTAGATCAGTGATTGTGACCTTAGTGCTTAGTGATGGGGAAGAGTTGGAAGATGGAGGCCACAGAGGGAATAGATGGGTGGCCAATGCCGGACGTTCGACAGACAGGGGGTACGTGTTGTGTCACTCTCTGTGTCGGGAAGGTGCACGAGATGTCGGGTACGCACGGCATCGGGTAAGTCGGAACCTTATACGATTGGTGTTCACATAGTGAGGAAGATTTTCTAATCATCTCTCCGCTCAGCGAACGCCAGTTCGCAAAAAGCTTCTCACTTCCTATGCAGGCTGGAGCTGGAGGAATGACCTGTCTTGAATGTGTCTTCGTATTTTCATCTCGAGCTCCCGCTTACCCTGGCAAGCAAGCACTTTTGTCCATTGATTGGCATTGCGCCAAGGTCACACACGGGTTCATATCCTCTCGGCTGCCTGAGCAGCTGACACAAGGTGAGTGGGAGCTGGGGGATGCACCCAAAAAAGACTGCAGAGTTGTGTTCGGATCCGCGTACGAGTCCCGTGCATGGTCGGTCGTGAGAGTTGGATTTTCTGATAACTCTCAGCCAGTTTCATCTTTGAGTGCCTCTCAGATATAGCCATCGGGCTGTCTTAACTTAACCATTTTTATTTTTATTTTTCCTTTGTGCCTCTCAGATAGCCATCAGTCAGTTAAAAAAGTTAACTCTGTCTCGGTTAACCTCTGTGCCTCTCAGGTAGCCAGCCATCCAAGACAGGCGTGAAGGTACATCGGGTGGCGGGCTGTCAATACCGATGTGCGAAGGAATCAAACAAGAACTTAAGTGCTTTTTTTTTTTTTTTTTTTTTTTTTTTTAAGCAGCTGTCTTCTCCTCTCGTATGGGGGACAGCTGTGTGTGTTTTCGCTACACAATTCTCTTCTCTGAGTTCTCTCAATTGTCTTACGCTAACTAATCATCCATCTCGCAGGGCTTAGGAGCGAGCAGTGCTTTCAAGGCTTAGGGTGGAGCACTACTTAGCCTATGTGGTTTTTCTGACAACGCCCTAGTATACTAGATTAACCTAGAGATGTCGAGCAAGCTACTAGGGTTATGGGTTTCACCTATCTACCTACGGGACACTTTCGTCCCCGATCTATCCCAGCCTACCTATCTATCCGCTCAGGGTTGAGCCTTCCCAGCTGAGCCTATCCCCTCAGGGTTGACTAACGTGGATGGAAGAGGCATTCTCCAAGCTCCCCTATCAGGTCCTACTAAGGGGGGGGCGAACCGTCGATCTCAGGTGGTGGGCCCCACAGCGTGCAGCAGGGGCCGTGGGGAGCCAAATGGATGCCATGTCGTAGGGAAGCGAACCCGTGACATTACCGAGTGAGCTAGGCCGCCGCCCTTCTACGTAAACTATTTTGTTTTTTTCACCCCCTCCCCTCCCCCCCGCCCCCCCGGGTTGTTTTTTGCAAGCCTGTGTAACAAGGTATGCAAGCCGTGTGGTTTTGTTTTTTCACCCCCTGAGCTCTGCTTCGTCTTTTGTACGTTCAGTCACTATGTGGATTGCTGCAGCTTCGCAGCTCGTTTGGCCGGTGTACAATCTCTCTGCCCAGACTTTGTGGTAGCTGTATTCTTGACTATAACAGTATAACTTCTATTAATAAACCGCATAGTCTTGTCGATCAAACACACCTTTCTGCTCCAAGAGCTCTGTCTTCGTTCACACCTCACCTCACACTCCTTCACTGAGGTGGGAGGAAAAAGATCTGCCTTATGGCCTTTGCCGATTTCACCGGTTGCTAGATGGTCATCGTGGAGAAGGTCCCGGGGGTGTGCACTAGGCTATTAGGTCGATTTGCTAGTGTGCCACTGTTCAGCAGACATCTGTCTAAGAGTATCGTATCTGCTGATCATTTGGAGTTCGACTTGGATGTTTGTTTGGCATGCGGACGAACAATTTTTTTTTTGTGGTAGTGGCATTGTTCGGCTGATAGAAATGTGTGCTCTAATTCCATGTTTTGCAGCTGGAAATATCTAATCTATGTGGCGGCGGCACATATGAACCACCTCTGTGCACAAGTAGGCTGCATTTGGTAGGCAGGGATGGCAGATTCGCGTCCGTTTGCCTTAGTAGAAAGGAGGCAGGCATTCTGTTCTAGCCTTTAGGGAAGAGCTATGAGATGTATGGTTTGTTTTCCCTCATTAAAAAAATTCCAGAAAACATTTATTAACAAATTCACCATTTAGACCATTGTTTTCCAACCATGAGGATGTCAAGTGTCAAGGGAAACTAGCTGTGGCTGGATGGAACCCGGACCGCCGTGGCTGGGACGGTACATAGATCCAAACCTTGTGTGAAGTTGTGAACACTACCAGAAGCTTTGTCTGATGACTGTACCAGGTCCACGTATCTGAAGAAATTGGATTGTGTGCAATGGTTGTTTAGTATTTAGTATTTATTCATCTTCTGTCCATCCGCTGATTAGTCGATTCCTCCGTCCCTCCCTTCCTTCCACCTTCCTTAGTATATCATGATTATCTCCCTCCCTCCCTCCCTCCCTCCCTCCATCCATCCATCCATCCCTCGCTGCCTCCCCCTCCACCCACCCACCCTCCGGCGCAATGATTGTTTATCCTTCTTCCTTCCATCGGTTGGTCAGTCCGTTCCTCCCTCCCTCCCTCCCTCCCTCCCTCCCTCCCTCCCTTCCCTCCTTCCTTCCGTCTTCCTTAGTATATCATGATTATCTCCCTCCCTCCTTACCATCCCTGGCACGCCCGCACCCCCACTGCCACCCCTGACCCCCACATCCCCACGCTGCACCCCCACACCCCACCGCAGGCACAGATGGGGTCACCAAGGCCACGTCCCTCGGGGGACCTGGGACCCCCCCCCCCCCCCCCCCCCCCCCACTAGTCTATTCTTTGTTTCTTTTTTTGACTTTTTTTGGATTCTCTGTTTTTTGTCTGCGATTTTGGGGGTCCAACCCCGGGGGTGGGGATGGCCCACCCTCGGACCCTCGACAGAGGTCCACAGGCAGGAGTCGACAACACTGTCACAAATCAAGAAATGCGCCAAATTGGAAAATAAATTAAAATAAATAAAATTTAAGGGTTACACCTTCCACCCCCATCCCCCGGCCCCCGGTTAATAGCAAAGCAACCACACAAGAAATGGAGAAATCGAAGACAAAAATGGGGGGAAGATAAAGGGAAGAAGCCAGACAGACAAGCAGGGAAAGTGAGATGGAAACGGTGAGACAGAGAGAGAGTGTGTGTGCATGTGTGGATACACAACTTCACATGGTGTGCCTGGAATATCCGACTGACTTCTTCCCCGCAAGACAACAATGTAAGGTCATTATACCTGTATTTACACTGAAAGATCTTCCAAATACATTTAATATACAGCTATAATCATTATGACCGTACGTTGTATTCGGGGGAAGAAGGTAATCTGCGCACAGCTACCGCATTGACAGCACTTTCATGGATGGCCTGGCCACACGTACTCGTAGAATTCAAAAGCAGACAGCACAACAGAAGTGCCTAAGGGCCTCAGGAGCTTCATCGCCTCCGCACGGTAAGCAGGATCTTCACAGCTTTGTGAAGGTAGACCATCACATCTTGCTTTGTGTTTGTGCATAAGCACACCATTACTCAAGTTAGCTTATCCATGTTGAGATGCCAGAATCATGGGTGCAACAAGTTCCAAGGCAATGCCATAGAGGTCCCTCAGAAACTAAGAGAGAGAGAGAGAGAGAGAGAGAGAGAGAGAGAGAGAGAGAGAGAGAGAGAGAGAGANAGAGAGAGAGAGAGAGAGAGAGAGAGAGAGAGAGAGAGAGAGGGTATAAGGTGGCAAGCCTCTACCAGGCCTCACACCCACCATTGCTGGGTTACATGGTGGCAACACTGGCAAGCATATTAAAATAAAGTTCACCAGCCAAGCACACATCAGGTGCCGCTTCCGCGTTGGCTCCAGACCAATTCCTCCCCACCCCCCGACTCCACATCTACAGAATCCTGTGTGCGGCTTTTCCATTTCTAAATGGAACACAGCGATTTGGAGGGAGCTACGCCATTCGTTCACTGCATTACTAGTGCGCCTCAGAAGTCGTCCTAAAAGACATTCCCAAAGGCTCATACTCACACTACGGCTTTATTCGTTGTATCTGACTGCAAACCACATTGGCAGCGGGTATACCTGGTGGCAATTACGCCCAAATTACGCCCAGAAATCTTTAAAAAAGACATGCTATGCTATGAGTATGCTCTTAGGGCATAAACACTGGGGTGAGGGTGATAACATTGACATGGAGTGGGGGAGATGGTGCAATCTGCACTCACGTCGGAATCATCCGGTTACAATGATGAATATGCAGTTATAGCCTCCTGAGTACGTCTGACGAGTACAAGTTTTCACCGAAACGAAATGTCCGGTCATTATAATTATTGAATTTATTGTATTTGCGCCCACTTCCACTCCAAATGCAACGATCATTACCGGCCGGGTATTCTATTTGGGTGCAGACGGCGAGTTTTCTCCACGGAGGAACTCCTTTCACCACTTCGAGGACAACTTCCGAAATTGAATCGCTCGCGGGCCCACGCAAGGTCCAGAGACGGGTGACGGTGTGCAGTTATGAAATCAAAATAGCTATGAAATTGAAATCAGTCACGGCCCCATGCCGCTAAATCGCCAGCAGCCATGGTTGCGTAAATGGTGATGTCCGACAACACTCCCCTCCTTCCCTCGATATCCAAGCGCAGATGTATTTCTATCAGGAAGTGTGAGAAGTACTTCACAGAAAGAACGCTACCTGGCCAACTGCGAGGGCCACGTTCATCTCCTCTCTTAAACTGCAAGTATGCGGCCCCAGCCTTGCAGAAAGTTTTTGTAGCCACAAACAAAACTCGGAGGGCCCGCGCGGAGTGGGGCGCCGTCGAAAAACAAAATCAGCGGCCTCCAAAGTGGTGCGGGTTTCCTGCTTGAGCTGTATGAGGTGAAAGTCTCACGTATGGTTCGGAAGCCGAGCCATATCGGCAATGAGATCGTTGACGCCCGTGCGCCGATGCGTGGTGTACTGGTGCTTTAACAGTTAACTTATGCATCATTTACAGCACAGCTCTGCCGATTAATTTTCGCAAAGTACCTAAACTGCCTGATGAAGCAATAGATTCGGACTGTCGGGCACTGTGAATGTGTATGTCCAGACGCATTCAAAATGTTGTGCGACAACGCCACCCCCTTAATCACAACCATTTCATGAAACCACCGGTACCTTTCCCCACCTGAAAATCACATACGGGGCGGTTAACAGGGAAGACTTTCGTGGGTTGGGGGGAAGGCACAGCAGGCCAAACGGGAAGGAAGGTGGTGGAGCCAAGGGAAAGGGGCAGGCCAATGGAGTGCAAGACGTTCTCCTCGTTTATGAGAGACACTGAAAGCAATGATGACGTGAAAGGAAGAAAAAGAAAAGAAAAGGGGCGACTCAGGGCATTTTCACGAATGTTTCAGGCACTCCCACACGAGCAAATTCCCGAATGTAACCTCCTGCCCTTATGGCCCACTATGCACGAGTCCGAAGGCAATCACGCTCAGAGCTTTTAGAATGCAAGCCAATCGCTTAATGTTGGCTTTTCTTACAGGTGAAAAAAGGAAGCAAAGAGAATCTAAAAAAAAAAAAAAAAAAAAAAAAAAAGCTGTACCTAATGTGACTCCCCGTGAGACACACGGAGCATTTGAGTTCCTGTCAGCAAAGGAACGTTTCAGAATGTAGTTTCGTCCACTCTCGCGCTAGCACTTTGCAGAGGGGTGTTATAGGACTCTCCAGAATGTATAGCTTCCTCCACTTATGGCCTGCTCTTCATGAATCTGAAGGCAATCACGCTCAGAGCTATTCATGAATCTGAAGGCAATCGCGCTCAGAGCGATTCATGAATCTGAAGGCAATCGCGCTCAGAGCTTATTACGGGTTCAAAGCACACTGCTACACTTTATCGATCGGAATGAGAAGATCGAAAACCCATGACCCGCTTTTAGTGGCAAATCACTCTCTACCACTCTTTTTTTTTTCTCTTTTTTTTTTCTTTTTCCATCTTTAATGGCGGCTCTAGGCAAATCTCAAATGACCTCAAACGACCTCAAATGTTCTCAATGATCTGTATAATTCGATATGGGACGCTGRGCCCGGTTCCCAGCACGTGCTGCTCCCCACAAATAGACTGGAGCACTTGTTCTGAAAAAAAAAAAAAAAAAAAAAAAAGCAAGTGTCGGTGAGTGGATCATTGGAACTTCGACTGGTACAGCTTTTGTCGATTGCTTTCCTTTCTCTCCCTTTTTTTGTTTTTTTTTTCCACTGATTTTTGAGATCGCAATCTAAAAACCTCGGTGATGCAATTGCTAGAAAATTGTTCCCCCTCCGATGGTGATCAACGAATGACCTTTCTTTCCCCTTTTCAACTTGCACTGATTGGGCACAAACGCCTTTTTTTTTTCTTTTTTTTTTTTTGTGTGTGTGTGGGAATGCATGGAGTCCATGATGATACCACGACTGCTTAGGTCAATGGTGAATTTTTTTTTTTTGTTTAAAGGCTAATTATTTTACTGAATGCTGATATCACAAGTCCGTCACCGTTTGCAAGGAACAGAAAAAGTTTTCCGTCCGATCTTCGCGGGTTTTGATTCTTCATCGCCGAAACGTTTGTGTAGGTATGTGTGTGTGTGACACAGTGAGTTTGTTTTGATATGGTCGCCATACACACCTCCGGATAAACAATGTGTAGTACACGGTACGTATGTGTGTGTGTGTGTGTGTGTGTGTGTGTGTGTGTGTGTGTGTGTGTGTGAGAGAGAGAGTGAGAATATAAACATTCATGAAATTAGAATTAAAATCAGTGCGTGAGCGGGCACGAAATAAACACGCCATCTTTGACAATTTTCCATTCTTTTTTTGGCTCATCCACATGTCCTGACAATTTCTAAATGTGTTTCTGATATGATACAAAACTCACCAAAATAAATCCAAAAATTATAAAAATACTAAATTGTTTAGGCCTCGAAATAAAGGGAAAACAAAAGGTGAAAAGGGATAAAAAAAAAAAAAAGTAGTGGTGACTGGGGCAGCACGTTTTAACACCGTCATCTTTGGCGATGGTGTTTTTTTATTGTTTTTGTTTGTTTGAGCAAAATGCCTTCAAAATTTGTAGCCATATACCTCACATCATAAAGAGCTCGCAAAAAAAAATCAAA